GGAATTATTAGCACAGGAACCACGAAAGCTGGAAGCCTGAAATTTTGTGAGCATGTTCCCTGCCCACGTGCGACCCGGAAAATTTTCAGCCTTCCCCTGCCCGCGGGCAACACTTACAGTCCCATAAAAAGTTTTGGCGGGGAAATTATCTCGGGAACCATGGAAACTAGGAAGCTGAAATTTTAAGGGCAATGACCCCCTGCCTACGTACGACGTTGCAAATTCAAATTCAGCGTTTCCGCAGTCTCGGATATCAGCTGTGGCCTCGTGAAAATTTTGGCGGGTAAATTATTATCTCGGAAACCACGAAATTTTAGAAGCCGAGGTTTTGGGGTAATGGCCCCCTCTCCGCGTACGATGTTGCAAGTTCACATTCAGTGTTCCCGCACACTCAGGTATCACATACAGCTTCGCGAAAGTTCTGGCGGGGAAAATTATTGTCTCGAGAATCACGAAAGTTGGGAATCTGAAATTTTAGGGCGATATCTCCTATCAACGTGCGACCTCCACAAATTTGGATTCAGCCTTCAGGCTGTATGGCTTCGTGAAAGTTTTGGTAGGGGAATTATTATCTCGTGAACTGCAAGAGTTAAAAAGCTGGAATTTTATCGTGGCACCCCCTGCTTACGTACAACTCCGTAAATCTTCAACGTCCCTGTGGAAGTTTTGGCGAAAAAAATCGTTATCTTAGGAGCCAGAGGAATTAGGGGGCTAAAAATTTTATCTCAGAGATTAGTTTTATCTCAGAGATTATTCGAAAGCCAGAAAATTAGGAGACTGAAATTTTGGAAGAATATTCATCCTTCGAGGTTCAAATTCCACTTTCACTTACCGATGCTTGAAATCTTTAACCATTTTTTAAAATTTCAACTGTTTTTGCACAAACTAAAATGCGAAGCAGTGAAAGCCATTAATAAGCAATCGTTCGGTGGATGCACAAAATGCATGATCGCACCGGCTATTCGGGTGCGCGCTGCTATTTATTTGGCACAGTCACGACCTGCAGACGCCTGCTGAATACAGTCGTGATTCTCAGCTGTTGTATAATTGGACTGCATTCATAATTTTTTAAAACTCTTTGTTATTTCATTATCATTTGCGGTTATCATCTTTTTTGTGCACTTTGAGTTTGTTCCCGTAGCTTTTAGAGTAAAGCTATAATTTGCACCGATTCATTAGTTGAGTTCGACTTGCAGTCATCATTTTCCAGCGAATTTGCCATTCGTTTTAAAGTTCGAGGCTGCTTCCGTTGTGAATGAGTACTGGTTGAGTATTAAATTCGTCATGGCATTTGCTTTTCCATTTGTTGGGAGCACTTCTCCAAGCTAATTGGGTTGCCACCCGTCTGATGATGATCTGATAATCTATCAGTCGACAAAGTACACCTACTGTTACATTCACGTCACTTATTTCCTCAATGGCATCGATTATTGTGCGTTTTTGCATATATGCAAATTGCAAAAACGCATGTTGACAAGAAACTGTCTGTGTGTGTCTGTGTGTTCGCACTTTTTTTCACCCACTTTTAGCATGAGGACCAGAAAAGCTAGAAGATTGAAACCTTGGGATTATTTACCCATACCATGCACGGCTCTTCCATTTTAATATCATCGCCCGCGTATGCCTGGGTACCGCTTACGGACGTCTTAAAAAAATATGCAACTTTTTTGTTGTGAAGACGATCTCGGGAACCAGGCACCATAAGGGATTGAAAATTTGCAGGGATATTCCCCTGTGCATGTATGAGCTAAAGACCCCAAATTCAGTCTCGAAGTATACATGGTATTCACGTAGGGGTGTATGGGAGTTTTGGCTGGAAAATTACTAACTCGAGAACCAGAAAAGCTGGGAGGCTGAAATTTTGGGGGAATGTTCCTTGTCCAAGTACAACTCAAATTTTTGAAATTCAGCCTTCAGTTAGGCGTTGTTCTCAAGTACGTGAAAAATTTGATGGAAAAATTGCTAACTCGGTACCAGAAAAGCTGGAAGGCTAAAATTTCACGGGGATGTTCCCTGCCCATGTGCAATTTAAAGATTTCAAACTCAGCTTCCCAAGTACCTGGGATACCCACGTACGGGCATGTGAAAGTTATGGTGGGAAAATTACTAATTCGGGAATCAGAAAAGATAGAAAGCTGAAATTTTAAGGGGTATTTCATGTCCAAACACAACTCAAATACTCCAAATTCAACCTCCATGCGGGATTCTTACGTACAGGCACTTAAAAGTTTTAGCGAGAAAATTGCTCACTAAATGGCTAGATTACTTTCAAAGAACGACCGTTAAATAGAAACTGTTTATTTACTTTATGCGAAATTTATGATGATTTTTGCTAGTGAGCGCAAAAGGTAGGTGTAAAGCAACAATCATTCATGCAGTTAATGATCTGAGCACTTCAAGTCAGGTGCAAAACACGCATAATTGCACCGGCAGGCCTGATGCGTTTCTTCCTGATTTAATAATGTATGGACCAGAAGAGAAGTGTGAAGTGGTTAGAAGGGGTTGTTGCTTAGATATTGTTGGAGACTATCTGTTTTTCGGCGTTATGCCTGTTTTTGCGCGGTTTTGTGAAACAATCAGTTCTTAGCAGTATACAAATGTGAAGTCATGCTGGAAATGTCCCTGTTGGTCTTTTCTTTCATGTGGGGGAAAAGGGCTTTTTGGTGATGTCTTATTAGGCGATCTGAGTACGGAAGCGGACATTGGCATTTTGAGGAAGTCTACACGCCAATGAATGTATAAGTTATGTCATGAAGTTTCATTCTGCTCGCACTGTTCCGCATTCTTTAAGTCTATTCCAGACTTGCTAAATCCTAAGAAATTTTTTTATTCGTGAACACCAACCGTTCACAATTGATTTGTGTTTTGCTTTAATTTCAAAGTCACTGCTTCAAAATCGTCCTTTTTACCACTGTTTTTGGGTTAACACTGATACAACTTATTTGCTTTTCCTCAGATCTGTTCCAGTCGGCTTCTTAAGCAGTCTGTTGAAGGTGGAATCGCTGGAAAATCAGGTAATGGATGTGTTTACTGTGCTGCTGGTGAATACTGTTGTCTGAGGGTCAAACACTTTTGTTTCTTTTCATGAAATGGGAGGGAGGTGGCGAGCGAAAAGGAGACAGGGAAAACGGAGGAGGGGGAAGAGAGTTTCGGGTAAGTCGATTTTGCATGCGAAACTGCGAAATTGATAATCGGGTATGTGAGGTTCGCCTGACCGAGCTTTGTTGATCTGACAGAGCCGATTCCGTCACATCCGCCATTTTCTTTATTTGAATAAACACTATTGCCACCGAACTGTTCTCAAATTTCAGAATTTTCTTTATTCAAATAAAAGAGATTAGTTTTTAATGTGAAAGTGAAACCAGGCGTAGAGCACGCTATCCTCGGTGCACGCAATTCTCAATGCCGTCGCGGTGATCTGCAGCAAATACATAATTTTCTGTTCACTGCCAGCCTCTTTGTTTGATACTCGAAATAATCCTTGAATTTGATTATTCTTGAAAGTTTTTCGAATTGTACAAATTCGAGTCGAAAAGGGCATCAAATTTTCGTTTTTCAAATCACTTTCAGGATATCTGTGGAGGGCAAAAACAAACCAAAACGAATGAATTGAGAATACTCACTTCCTGGATAGCCGCTCTTTTTCTGAGTTCGCTGCAGCACTCACTCGCCTCCCTTTCCTTTCACTCTCGCTTTTCTTCCCTCCTAGCCCGCCCCTTCTGTTTCTTTGGTTGCTTCGTCCTTGCAACCATGTCAAGAGTCGAGTTACAAATACAAATTAAAGGTGCTGAAGAAGAGGACAAAATGAGCGAAAATGCTAAGCTTAGAGCGAACAAGGAAGGCGGTATTTCAATGTGTAGCGAAACTTCGATAACTGGAAGTATCGGCAAACTTCGCTGTTTAGCGTGATGTAGCAATTAAAATGTTTGGAGAGGATTGAGGCCTTAAAGACTGAACTCATTAGCTATTATTTTGTGGTGTTCTTCCTGTTCCTCCTTCCCTCTCTCCCGCCTTTGTTAATTGTTCCAGCTGTTTTCTGTTACTTCCACTACTTTCTCAATTCAGCAGTTTGTTTGTTTAAATCAATTTAATGCGTATGCAAAGGGCACCAAAAAAGTTTTGTTTGTTAAATAGCAAAAAATACTGTAATAAATGGATGGAAAAGTAAAGGACTTTTTTCTTGTTGGAAAAAATAGAAAATTAATTGCCAGCTGAGGACGCAAAAGCTTTGATTGAAAACAGACAGGACATGTAATGAAAACAAATACAGTTCATTAATATAGGGATTACTGTACTGATTTTCGCTATGTCTAGGCCCTCCATCAGCCTTTGCGTAGACTAACAAAAAACGGTTGTAAATTTCTTAGGAATAAAGCGTGGAAAGTATGTGTAAATGTGCAAATGCAGAAACACATATTGAAATGCCCCTACCCGTGTGTATGTTTGATACAGATTAGAAATTTCATATCCAGATAAATTAAGAAATCGAAGCTTACCCTTTGTTTACCATTAGCTTAGAATTCTGATAACAGTCTCCTAATTTTCAATGAATCCAGAACTTGGGACAAATGAAAATCAATTTGGCAAACGTTCTCCTGGTTTTTTTATGTGCTTCAGAGCAAGTAAAAAATTCTTAAAAATGAAGATGATAAGGCGAGTAATTTGCTAACTAAACATGAATATGATTCAACATCATAATGTAGAAAAGAAGGCGGTGTTTGAAACAATGAAATTATAACTTGACTTGTTCCCCAAATTATTTTTCTATAAAATCATAACTTTCAAACCGGCCTGGATTTTGATTTGGCACCGCTTGCAGCTTCTCTATTTTAAAATCAACTGTCCGTACGTTGTCGACATACGTGCGGGCTGAATCCAGATTCTCTGAGCTGAGTGTAAAAAGCGTGAAATTTCAACATTGCTTTTCTGTTTCTTGAAATCGTCTTTCCCGTCACCAAAATTTTAGCTTTATAACTGTGGCAGATCTGAAAATTGAAAACATGAGGGCTTTTTTAGATTGTTCTCGAGACTATCGACGAGTGTCCGCTGAATTTAAGCGTAAATTCCCGTTAAAGACAGCGAAAGATGTAAGAGATAAGCATTTGGCAGAAGTTGTCGAGAAGCGGTTGATCGACTGCGACCAGAAATCTAAAAAGGACTACTGGATGAATCTCATGAAATCATTGCCAAAGGCGAAGCTTTCAGCAAGGTATGCTTAAATTCTTTTTTTAATTGAAAAGCGCACCGGTATAGGTTTATGGAAGCAATGGTTTGCCTAGGAAAGCGCAGATTTTCTGCGAAGGATTAATTTAAAGCATAAATTTGTTGTTAAAAATTCTTTATTAATTTTTCTCAGCTTTTTGTGGATTTCAGTTGAAGCATACAAAAACTCTTACACGGGCCTTAAGAGATTGTCGAAACACATCTGTTCCTTTATGAAATCCGTACAGAGATGTCCATCTATCAGAAATATCCTTGCTGCGTCGCTGAAAAGGTGTTCCTGCTTGTTCAGGAACCAAATTAATTCCCGCAGGGTTATTTTTATGTGAAGTGTTGCGCTAAAAAATTAATCACTATCAGTTTGCGGGTGCAATTTATTAAATTGGTTTCTACTTCGTTCCCAAAAATATCAGACTTTTTTGAGCGTTACATTTGCCTTATTAATGGATAATTTTTAACGGAGATGTCGTCTACTTGAAAATGATCAATTGCACAAGGCTTTGTATATGGGAGATGCTTTCATTAGGTGAGGGGCCGCTTGAACATACGACGCAGGGCTCCTCAACACAAACTCAGCCTGAAAAAATTTTCTGTGTTGCTTCATCCCTTCATACCTTTGCACTTTTTAATGCTGTTCTGCAGTAAGTGTAATCAGTTGATGAAAGTCGCTTGATTAGGTGAATGGTCATCTGACTGGCAGAAATTTTCCTTCACTTAGCATTGTCCTAAAAAGTGCAGCTTACTGATCAGCAAAAAGTTGCTTGAAAGAAAAATATGCCAGGTTTTGATACTGCAAATTGCTCTACAGTCTCCATTGAGGCATCCTATGCTCCGTATTTGAAGAAATTACGGTATTTCAGGGAGATTAAAAAACCCAGTCAGCGACGCACTAGGCTTGTTGGTGTGATCGTGCGTTTTTGCATAATTCCATCCTGTAGATCACCTGTGCTACCGGAGTACGACTACAGTTTCGCGGTTTGAAAATTTGATGCGCCTGTACGTAGAGTTCACATCTAGGCAGAAGCTTATCTTACTTATGACTTGCACATCAACAGCAAGCATCCGCTTCCTACTCACTCCAGTTACCGAGTTAACTGGATATCAACAGTGTCCCAAACTAAACATTCGCTTACGGGCGCGCGAGGTTTAAGGCTGAATTTGAAATATTTGGTCGCACATTTTCGTAGAATATTCTCGCAAAATTTCAGTTGCCTAGCCTGATTGGTTGGTGAAATCTCTTTTCGTTACAAATGTCTTTGAAATGTCCGAGCACACATTACATGTGTTCCCAAGCCCATTTTACTCACACATGGGTAGCAAACATTTCCGTCAATTAAAAGGGCTCTATTCAACTTTGTTCTCGAATTAGGATTTTTACTAGCGACGGCGAAACCTCAACGTTGTTATATTGTGACGTGGGTGTGCGTTAAAACTCCATTTGAAACCTTTAGTGCACACGAAGACATGAAGTAAACACAAGGATATAGAACAGTTTCCTATCTTGTCTGATTCTCAAAATCGTTTTCCCATCGAAAAATCTGCGTTTCCTTTTCAACATCTGTACATTACACCCATGCGTACTTGAACGATAATTTTAAAATGGGATGAAGGGGGATGGAGTGTCGGCGCGGGTTGAGCACATGTTCCAAAAGTTTCAGCTTCCTAGCTTCTTTGATTGCCGAGTTGAAAGTGAGTGACAAAATGCGAACACACAAGCACAGTTGCAGACACAACACACAGACAAACTCTTGCCAATATACATTTTTGCATTCGCATGAATATGCAAATGCGCAGTAAAGTGGTCGTATCAGTGTAGGACACAAAAAGTTCCACAGGTTTTATGAACTGAGTCTTACTCAGAATTGAATAACAACAGATTGAAATACATTTTAGCGAAGAGGAGGAGTGCCGTAACGGTCTTGTACAGGAACGTATAGCGTGCGTTAACCTGATGTCGTTTACATGCCAGTTTATCAAGCGTGAATATGCGTTCCGTTTGGTGCCTGCGCGAGTGATCATGCAGGAAGCCCGTCTAGCCGAGGATGGAGCTGAAAAATGTGCGACAATGGTGCGTTTCATCAAAAAGCACGATCAACCGAAAAAGTGAACGTGTGTATAATTTTTTTCTTTCTTTTTTATCCTACATTGTTTGACTTCTCAGAATCCTGTGACTTAAGAGTAATAATTTGTAGAATTGAAGGCGAAATTTTCAAACCTGGGCGAAAAACAGGTAAACCGCTTTAAAACCTTTCTCGATTGGTAAAGCACTCAATGGATTTTTTTAAGGGCGCGTTTTACAGTGTAAATGCTGTCAATCAAGTAGGACTTTTAGCTGAGCGCTCTGTTTAATGAAATTGAATCGTCAGTGCCTTAGCCTCTTTTGTTTTCTTTTGGGTCGGATTTCAGTGTTCATAGAATTATCAGCACAGTGAAATTTGGCAATAATACGCATCGTACCACGTATTCGTCCCTAAAGAGATCCGGTGATCGGAAAATAGCTGTGCTGATTGAGCAAAATTTGCAGTACTAGATTTGAACATAACAGTTTGGCTTGATTTCTTCATTTTTATGCGTTTTTTCTGTGCAGCGCTATAGCCAGCAAAAACGCGTATTGTCGAGAGGCTGTGTGTGTGTTCGGAAGCGAGTGCATTTTGTCACCCACTTTCATCTTAGCAACCAAGAAAGCTGGGAGGCTGAAACTTCGGGTACACGTTCCTACCCCGTGTGTCATCCTCCCATTTTAAGATCTTTCCCCAAACGCGCCTAGACCCCGCGTTCGGGCCCCCAAAAAATAAGGTAGAAAATTGAAACTTTGCAGGGATATTATTTATGCGCGTGCGAGCTAAAGATTTTAAACTCAGCTGTCGAGCACCCGAACTACAGCCTCAAGTAGCTTCTCAGCCCAAAAATCATTAAGAAATTCATCGCAACCCGGACCCGAACCGCAGTCGTGTATGTAAATGAACATTAATTAATTTGCATATGTGGATTTTTTGAAAAACGACCGCTCGAGCAATACTTCCACTTTCTAGTGGACTGGAAATTTACATTTTTTCAAAAAATTTGCATTTTTCGTATTTTCACAAAGTGAGCATTTACCGAAAAAACAACCGGACTTCATGCAAAAAACCGGTAATCATTCACCTGGAGGTGCACCACCTTCATCCCAATTGCAATGCACCACATTCATCCCAACTGATGCCCTTCTTCCTGCATACTGGTAAGGATCAAAACACGGCCAATATTAGCCCAAGTGTTAGGCTACAGAGTAGGGATAATTCCTGCTAATAACGATCTGCGAGTTTAGTGCAAAAACGCATGATAGTACCGGGGAGCCTGGTGCGTTCCAGCCTCGGTTTGAAAATGACCCAGCCGTTCAATTAGTAATTTCCCGCCAAAAATTTAAATGCCCGTGCACGAAAACCACGCACGCCTGGGGGCTGAATTCGATAACTTTAAGTCGTAAGTGGATT